AGTGCCACACATTTCCGCTTTAAGCTTCAATTTTCTTACAACACACTTTTGGCAAGCTACACTGACGACAAGTGAGAGCTGTAGCCTTTAGGGGTTGTGACAGTTTGGGATTTTTAATATCTGTGTGCAACTTCACACAAAAGGATTGATTACTCTATTGTACCGAGACTTTTTAGAGATGTAGTCAAATGAAAATGACAGAGATAGACAACTAAGTAAGTCTGTTTTTTCAGTGGGATCACATTAGAAATAAAAAGTAAATGTATAAGACACCAATGTATCTTAGTAGGACTTCTTTGATACTCCACAATTGTAAAAAAAAAAGCTAAGACTTAACTAAAACACAATGACAAAAAGATACAGGTCAGAGAGTTAGCTTAAAGATGGCTATGCTATTAGCATACGTGAGGGAAAACCGCCATGTTGACTGTCTTGTGTTTGCTTATAAACACACATGTGGAGGTTGCGGGTATCAAGGATTTGTAATAGGGGGCAGTTTTGTGTTTCTCCCCCTCATGGGGAATCAAGCAAAAGGAGATGGCTGTTAATTAACTCCGTAGTCTGGAGGGAAAACGCGTTGGAGGCATTGAGATGTAAAATGTAATTTAAAAAAAGGAAATGCAGCCTGTATGGTTGGTGTTAGTACTTTTGATCTGTGTGTGTGTGTGCGTCTGAATGTACTCACAGTAAAAGATAAAGGGTGTGGTAGTGTTTGATCGCGATGTGTGTTTTCTCTGCTTATTTAGTAGCTCTTTTTCCATATTGCAATAGAAAAACTACTAAATGATTTATTGTGTACATAATTGTACAAGAGAGTAGATGGGACAACACATTGGGTACACGTACATACTAAATGAGTGTGTTTGAATATAAGTATAAATATGTATATGCTATTTTTCAGTCACACTGGGATGGTTTGACGGGGAGACTGTCGTTCAACAAGTCATCTGGTCTGCGTACAGACTTCGACCTGGACATCATCAGTCTGAAGGAGGAAGGACTTGAAAAGGTACATTTTGTCTTTGTTTTCAATGCATTCTTTGCTAAAATGTAATAAATCCGCAACAACAATGTGTCACCACATGCAGTGCAAACAGATATATAGCTGTGATGGCTAGGCCTATACCGTGAAAGTCATTTAATGGATTATTGATCTCACAAATATGTTTCAGATTTTCCTCCTGGTGCGGAACAGATAATGCAAATGTGACAGTGTCATTTACCTCCTAACAAGGAAGCAAATTGGCTGTTTCAACATAAGCATAAGTTAGTGGATCATAAAGCAAATTGGATTAGGGTACACATTAGGGTGTTAATTGCAGCCTCTCTTAATGATAATTTGAGATGATGCCCAAAATGCTGTTTGGTGGTAATGAGCTGTATAAACATGTTTTACAAAAAAAAGCAGGAGAGAAAAAACAAACTAAAAGGTTTGTAATGTAGAAATTATTTTATTATACTGGAAGGCAAAGTGCCCTCTGGACTATTACAGCTTTTCTCTACAAGAGGGCTTTCATACATTATGAATACATCAAATAGGGATAAGTCCCATTATGACTTCCTCAAGTACTCCCTAAAGGCTCAACACTATATAATAGCAGAGGCTTTTTAGCTACCCCCTCTGCGCAGGAATAAAGCTTGTAAAAAAGCAGCTTTGAAATGATTCTTCTGTATTTCCCTGGCATCTTGTCCTGTGTGTGGTCAATTAAGTTGAAGTACATTCATCTTGCAAAAGTATTTGATGGCACATTAGCCTCTTCTCATGTCTCTGACAAATCCCATGCTCAAGTGTGTTAGCGTTGATCCAGGAGCGTTCTGCGGATTGCTGGATCTTTTTTCTTCTTCTCTTGTATATCCGTGGAATCGGCTTTAACTGTTTGAGCCGGTTAAGAGGTGGAATTTTCTCAACTAATCCATCGTAATTGAATATTAGCCCAAGTTTGAGCGTGTGCAGGAATTATGAAAAGGTTTGCAGAGAGCCACTTTCAGTCGAAGCCAGCATGCTAAGGAGGGGGAAATAAATGCAATGCTCTCCATATGGTTGCATGAGTAAATAACTTTTGAATCAGGTCTATTGTCTATCATGTTTAATGAATTGAGCTAATTGTAATTGGGTACAATTAGGAAATAATTTTGCAAAGTGGAAAACATTCAGACATTTTTAAATCTCTCTCCTGGAGTCCTTTTCGGTTGTGAGACAAGCTGTAACTAATGTGCTTTTCAAATTAGAGCATTGTGCCTCTTTCTGTATTCAGGAGGGAGGACATTAACAAGACGTTTTTCATGCTTTTTTGAGGGGGGGTCGTACGTCTTTAAATGGATCCACCTGAAGCACAAACCCAAGTGAATATTCAGTCTGTAGTAATAGAGGAAACAGGAGGGATAGGGGGAGGGTTTGGTGGAGGGCTCGACTTGCAAACAGAGATTGTTACAGACAGCCACAGGACTATTTGTGCTAATGATATGTTCCAGAGTGTCGATATGCAGAGTTCTTTTGCCTGCGGGCTTCTTACATGTATAAATCCTTTTATTTGTTGAAATCTCTTCGCTCATCTCACTGAGACTGCAAAGCAAGATTACATTTACTGTGTGATCCAACCAGCAGGCTGTGCCTTCATTCAAATGAACTGTAACCTTTTTACAATACTTTCTAATTTTATTTAACCCTCCTGTTATCTTCGGGTCAAATCTGACCGATTTACTACTTTCATCAATCATAATTTTTTTGTTTTACATTCGATTGCATTAAGGCTTTATGATATCCTTCAAAGTAGACATTTGAACACAATAGCTGATCACTACTTTCATTGAATTTTGGAGGATTTACTCAACTTTGTAACACCCATGGTGTTCCCGGTAGTAACCATTCGGATCAGATAAAACTATACACACACACACACACACACACACACACACACACACACACACACACACACACACACACACACACACACACAGTAGGCTTCAAGAATAAAACAAAACAACACCACCACACGCTCCCACACCTGCTCCATGGTTCCCAGGCAGTGAGTGTGTGAAACCCTCCATTCATCTCTCGCCTTGGTTAACCCCTCGAGGGAATGCCAGCGTGGAGCATTCCGCAGGGAAAGATCCGTGATCAGATGTCATTTGGTATTATCTAAGGAAGGATCCTAATCCACAATCTGCCCGCATCTGTTTGCTAACGTTCCCCGGCTCCGTCCCCCGCTCCCCTCTCTGGCCGTGCCACTGTGATGTGCCGGTGCCAGCGGACAGATGGCGAGCCCCTGGAGGAGCGGTGGCACCGAGCGTCTGGCCCCGCCGCACATTCTCTCCCAGCTTTTGTCAGGCTGCGGAGCGCGGGGGTTTAGTCTCCAACGCTCCCTGAATACAGAGACAACACACAACAACATGCATTGTTTCCCATTCAGTTTAATTAAAAGGCTATTGAACCTGTAAAGGGGTTAATGAGAGTATTTTGATAACTGTTAGAGGCATTTTTCATCAACATTTTTTGTGAAATTCATTTTTTAGCCTCAAATGTGGAAACCTCCTGCTTTTTCCTGATGATATCACATTGAAGGGAATATCGTTGAGACAAAAAAAACAACACATACAGGCATCACCTTGGATTTTGAATAACTGGAAGGGAAATTTTTTTACTATTTTCTGACATTTTATAGACAAATTTAATGTAGAAAATAATCAGCAGATTATCTATAAAGAAAAAAACTTTGTAGCCAAAGTTATAAAATTCTTCAGATGCTTTGAAGATTCACCCCTGAAATTGCCCGTTCTTGCTATTCCTTTAAATTAGTACAAGAACAAAATCAGGGCCAATAACAAAAACTTGGACTCATATTGAATCGTGTTATAGACCCATCAATCAATGCAGATGTATCTTTAATTCTAAAGTGTTAGATCTAGCCCGAATTACTACATCCTTGAAAGGCTTTTCAGACTCACCCCTAAAATCATCTGTTTCTTGCCAATACTTTGCATGATTTCAATAAGAAATCAAGGCACATAACAAAAACACATCAGTGTATTTAAGTACGGTGTAAGTAGGAGGCCATCATCTTCTCCTGATGTTCATCCAGGTGCTTCTTGACCGCTGCAAATGGCTCTGAATATTCAGCGTCTGCGTCTCTGATTAAATCTCTCTTAAGAGCCTCTGCAGAACGTCTGCCACTACTCGCAGAGTGCTAACAGTGCAGTTTTACCCACGATGCATTACTAAATGAATGTGTTGACCACAGGGCAAGGTTAGCTGGGTATTGGCAGAGATAGCTCTCAGCTGGATTGCCGACATGTGCGCTCGCATAATGCATGCAAAGGAGACACAGTTTGTGTGTGGCTTTTTTGTTGCAGTAATTTGTAATCTGTATGTAAGGTTGGCATGTCTTAAAAGTGGGGGTGAGGGTGGTAGTGTGAGCGTGCATGTGTGTGTGTGTGTGTGTGTGTGTGTGTGTGTGTGTGTGTGTGTGTGTGTGTGTGAGAATGTGTGTGTGAGTGTGCTGTTTAACTCCATTGTAATGTTGACCCCTAATCAATAAAAACAATTTAGCTAATGAAAAAAAAACAGTCTGCATGCTTGAGGGCATGCGCACTCCTTCCTGAATCTGAAAGTGCACTTACAGTGGAGCAGTGATTATCCACAGCCCGCATGCATCCTGTGGCATGGCTTCATTGGCTAAAGAAAACACCCCCCCCCCACCCACAGATGAAATCCCCACACACTTGTCACTAACTAACTTTTATTTCCAGGTTAGCTGTCACCACTAACTGTGATTGCATGCTTTTTTCTTTATGTCTGTTTTATCCCGAGCGTTTTTGATTTGACTGTCATTTTACCCAGCACATGTTCCATTGTCAGTAACAGCTAGGACTCATTTTCGTTAGTCGTTCTGTATTTCTGCTGCTCCTAGGCTCTTCTGCATGCATCTGTGTTAAGTTGTAGTGTAATCTGAAGTGGAAGTTGTCTTGGCCAAGTGAACTGACTGCTAGGTTTCAATTGACAGCTGAGGAAGTGTGACTGGAGCGTGACTCAAAACGGCAGGCATTATGGCCCCAGTGCCACTGACGACACTTTGGGGATTACTTGGCAAAGGTAACCTTTTCATTCTTTCATGCAGTCTCTCTGTCTCTCTTGCACCACACAAACACACACACACACACACACACACACACACACACACACACACACACACACACACTGCAATGAATAATGCGATATAATTCATTTGATTTATACAATGTCACATATGAATTCACATATAAATCAACATTTTCTGATTTGTGGCTGTATAATTTTAAGAAGGCATCAGATGTGGTGTGACACGGACGATGTCTTGTTTTGTGACAGTTTTCCCCAAAATAGATCTTTGTATTTATGTTTTGAAGTGTTTTTGTGTGAATTTGTCAAACTTTATTAATTCCAAATTGTATCCAGGGTTAGATTCTCTATTGGACACCCGACGAAAACAAAATGTTCTTATTTCATAACACACACTTTTGATGAAACTAATTGGAACAAATGAAGTCCAACCAGGTAGAATAAAAAGAAGTCATTCCAGGTCAGCTTTCAGCCACGTGAGGATGTTTTACTTTCCGCATTTAACAAGCTTTGCTTTGTTTGACTTTATGCTGAAGTCATGCTTTGCTCTCGTTAACCTAAAGCTACAGACAGTCTCCTCTAACCCCCTCCCCCTTCATCTCCCCCCCATGCCTCCACACTGTATCTCTCCCTCTCTGGAGGAAAAAACCTGAGCCATTTCACTGTGGCGGAGCGAGCGAGCTGAGCCTTTTCCTGTTACGTATTTTCCCCTTTTCCAATGCGAGCGTAGATGGTGTGAGAGTTCATGTGTGTGTGTGTGCAGATAGTGTGTGCCCGCTGAAGTTACAAACTCTTTTACACAAACAGAGCCCCCTTCAACAGGCCTCCTAATAGGCCGGTGAGGTAGCAGAGAAAATGTCCCCTGCAGCAGGACTCACAGCAGCTAACTCCTCCTCTTCTCCCCGTGTGAGAGTACAGTAATGAGCAGAAAGATCCCAACTGAATTTAGATAATTCTGTTACAAAGATGCCCCGGTAATTCTATTCCAGTTGTTTTCCCTCTTATTAATGTAGAACCATTCCAACATACAGATGGAATCAGTGGGATTTCTCTTTTATCTCTGCTGCCCTTTAAACGAAGCCTCTTCACTTCTATCCCCCCAAATTAAAACGCTGCCAGACCCGCATGTTGCCATTGTGCAGGAAATGGGTCAGCAATCCATTAAGATGCCATTAGATAATCTAATTTAGGGAGCTAATCCTTAAACGAAGCACGCGGTATGCCCGGGCTGTGCTTGCAGGGAGTAGAATTAGTGAGGTTTGGGTGCTTGGACAGGGCACAGGGAGGCCATCTTGAAGGTTACCTAAGGAAATGCAGAGATGGCGGTCAGAGTGCAGAAACGCAACGTTATACAGACACAAAATATGTAAAAATAGTTGTATTTTAAGCTAATGTGGCTATTTTTTTTTAATAGAGAAAGGGAAATGCTTGACAAATTGGAACAATACCCCAAATTATTTTCATTTGGCACTAAAAGACTGCATTTGAAATGTATTTGATTGCACCATACCAAGTGAATATGTTTGTATTCAAAGTTAAGTAAAATCTTAAGTTAAGTCTCAATCAGTAGCGAAAGCAGGACTCCGGCCGCCCACTCTGTGATTTAGCCCGATAGTAGAGAGGAAATCTTTACATCAAAGTCCTGCCCAGCGCAGCTTTAGGTTATGGGATGCAGATTCAGACTGACAGCCATCGATTTTAACAAGATTAAAACCGATCTGCCGGTTTAGTGCGCACAAAGGCCCGTGAGTCTGCTTTTGTAGCTGTGTGGTCCCCCTTTAATCCAAGCCATTACCTGAGAGGAGTCTCGTAAGGACAGGGCATCAGGGAGAGATGGGAGGAGGGAGAGAGAAAGGGAACGGGGAGAAGAGAAAGCTGCAGCGCTCTGTGCGCTCTTTGTTCAGCAAGGTAGGAAAAACGTAATCCTCCCTTTCCTGTCCGATGATTTTTGGCAGGGTGAAAGAGAGAAGGAGGCGGGGGGGAAGAGAGAGAGGATAGCATGAGGACGGGCTGGGTAGGAGGAGGAGGAGGAAAAGACTTTAGAGAGGATTAGCCTTGAGGTTGTTTTTAACTCTTTGCACACTTTGAGATGTTTGCTTTTATTTTGAATACATCTTCTCTCCTCTGTGTTCGGTCAAGCTTTATACAAGAGTCTGAAGGCACAGAGGTGAATTGAGTTTGCACTTTTCAAGTAGAAGAGCAGTGACTTGACACCTCTTCTACTTCTGTAAACACATTTTTTCTTTATCTGTTCCTTTTCAAACAACTCCTCTCCTTGTTATCATCTCCCCAAACATGACCTCCTGTCTACTTTTTCAACATCTTCCATCATCCTCCCTTCCCAGCTCTTCTTCATCTGTCTCTATGCGTCCACGCTCCATCAGAAGAAAGTTAGTACACGGTGAACCGGGTAGAAAGTGTTCTACGCAGGTATTCTCAGAGTTAGCGGTGATGATGTGAGAGGGTGTTAGATGAGTGCACACAGGGGGCCTGTAGGGGAGAAGGGGGTGGTGGTAGTGGGGGGGGGGCTAATTATCTGACATCTACGTAGCACAGCACCCCACGGGAACAACATGCTGTTTGTTCCCCGCTCGCGTTTTCAGTTAGCACCGTTGCTCCCCAGGAACAATCACTGTGTTGTTTTGCCATTAGCGTGAGATGAATAGGGATGGGACAGCTTTATGTAGGACCCCCCCTCTCACACTTTTTTACCCTCAACCCCCCTCCTCCTCCACCATCACACACTCCCCCCCTCATTCTACACCGCCATCAATGCAGAAAGGAGAGCCTGCGTCATGGCTCTGGGAATCAAGTGGAATCACCTCAGATTCGATTAATGAGCTGCGGCGGCCATTTCTCTTTTTGTCCGAACGAAACAAAAAGCAGAACTTGAACCCTGATGGCTGCTGGTCGTCAGCAAAGCAGTGTTCAGGATAACTGAAATAAAGAATCTGATTTTGCTGCAGAAACAAGCTAATGGCATGTGACTAATCTCTCCTTCTCTCTGTGTGTCTTCTCTCCACAGTCCTGGTACCTGGGCGAGCTTAGTTCCATTCCAAGTATCGAACGGGACTCCGATTCTGCCAACAAATGTCCACCAGAACTACAGCATAAACATCATTGGTGAGCCGCTGGTCCCCGCTGAGACAGGGAACTGAACACAAAGCCCCCCCCCCCCAGGGTGGATGCATGGCCGGGGGGTGCTGGTGGTGCACAGCCAGCCCTACAGGTGTCCGCAGCCATGGATGAAACCAGCAAAGCAGCACGAAGCTGCACAATCGTCCCCTAACTCCCCATCTCTCCCCCTTCCGTGCCCCCCTCCCACTCCCCCTTTTGAAGGACACTGGCCGTGAAGTGAAGGGTTTTTTCGGAGGAAAGAAAAAAAGCTTCAGGTCTGCCGTGTCCCCTCCGCCTCGCCATCTCCACCTCCACCCACCAGTCAGTCGTTGTGTTGGAAGAACTTCTCAATCCATTCAAATACTGTGATGTATAGATGCCTTAATGTTTTATTGCATGACACTCTAGTCTCTTAGCGGCAATTCCTACTATTTTTCCGTGCTGTGGGAGGAAGTAAAATCTTGATTTACACACACACATACATGAAGAGGTCTGCGCAGCGACAACCTCTGCCTGGTGGATGGCTCTGAGACTCTAAGCTCTCCGGTCAGACCTCTTGAAAAGAGGCCCCCCCCCGCGTGAAACGATTCACTGTGTACACCATAGGAACAAAAAATTGTGAATTCAGAGTTTCTTCTTGCGTTTGATTTCAGTTTACTGTGATACGACTCTCTGTTCAGAAAAATGTGTTGACTTTGTTTATTCTTTACTGCTACTTACTTTAAGAATTAACGTGAATACTTACGGTAAGAGTTGAGAACTCTTGATGCGGTTTTAAAAAAACACTAAATGTTTGGCTTGAGATTGGACCCCTCATTAAAAGAATTTGCAACTCCTTTACAAAAGGATCTAAAAAGACGGAGAATAGGAAAATCGCGATAGAGGCAAGTGCAATGGAATTTTTTGAAGGGAAGCTATCAGTCTGTCAGCCCTAAGACTCTAAAGGAAAGGGGATAAATATTAAATGGTTTTATGGGTAAAATGTTTAAGAAAACATTTGAATTTGATTTCACTCACATATCCGTCTTCTCACATGAGAAAAACATAGAGCGTGGAAGGCAGTTGAAGGCAAGCACTGAGCTGCCGGTGCAGCGCTGAGCAAAACCAGCTCTTCTTTTGAGCCCTTCCCATCAATAGGGGAAGTATTTTATATTTATTTTGGGGAAAAAATAAGCGAACATAAGTAATGAGACACACAAAGTGTGTACAAATTGCATTTAATTGTTTTTTAAAATGTTCACGATAAGATCAAGAGCGTATGCATTTGGCCATCAGCTTCTAAAGCTTATGTTTACAAAAAAATATATGGAATGCAAAGTGTTAATCCATGGAAATGTACAATTCATGCAAATGTACAGCAGGCTTATGTGTAAAGCTACAGTTTGTGCAAGGTGAACTCTAAAGCGGAAGAGGTTTAAAACTGCAAGATGAATCCAGGTGGTGGCAAATCCCTGAAATCTAGAATTGTGCACGGCATGTTCACAGCCATTGCCTCTCCAGTCCAGACATATTTATACAAGGAAAATCTCTCCAGTACTCTTAATTTGCACGATGACATATAGTCCACATTACGTGCCTTGCCTTTGAATATAGAGACATCACTACACTTGTTTTTGCTGCATTTATCATTATAGAAAAAAATTAACATTTTTATGATAAGAATTGTTTTGTACTCTGAATGAAATTGTTGATTTTTAACTTCATGTACTACTCTATTTCACAGTTACATTGCATATCAAGGCTGTGTATAGTTGCCGTTTTAAAGTTTGTAATCAACCAGCATTTTTTTTTTTTTTCTCAGTATTTTTGGTGGTTTTTCTAATAACCTGTCATTTTTTTGTTTTCCTTATTTTTCAATGCTCATTTTGTTCATCTTCCAATTACTATTGTGGAGGGTGGAATTCAGAATTATGAAAATTATGCAATACCAAGTTTTGCCTATGTAGGTAGTGCTTATAGATGCGTCAATTATTAGAGGCTAGTTTGGAGATAGACAATATTGTAATGCATTTATTTTGTTGATATCGTTGTTTGTCGTTGTTGTTGTTGATGATGTTGTTGTTGTTGTGGGTGTTTTTCCTTTTTTATTGACCAAAGTGGGGACTGCTTTCTATGCAGTGTATGACAAGGTCTTTATCTTTTTTTTCTTTTTTTAGCATTTAGGCCTACCGAATGACGGTGTGTTCCAGTGTATTTTGAATTCGCAAGTTTTAGAGGGAGGGGCGGTATTTTTCTAGAAGTACTTTTTTTTAAAAGTGCACCCTTGGTCTTTAAACGGCTGCAAAGTCACTGATTGGTCTACTGTGACTCTTACTTTTAACTTTCCACCTGGGGTGCTAGCATGTGACCTTGAAGGAGCTCATTTTTCACAGGAGAGACGGCTTGACTTGAGTATGACAATCATTTTAAGAAATCATTTTGCGTCAAATCCCATTCTCTCACAGATCCCTTAAAGCTGCAACTGAGGACGGATACCGTTGCACGCTTGTATCGAGTACTACGCCGTACTATTCTAGACGTCACCTGAATGCAATTCCCAAGTAGATGCCTTAAACACATCAGTGAAGTGGCCTGTGACCTGCGCAACAATCACACACCGACTATTGCTAGTGAGACCTGTCCAAATCAGTTCCAGACGGGCTCGAGCAAGCCTTTAGAAAGTATTTTATAAGTAGTAGATTTGTATAAATGTATATACGATATGCACATATGTCAATTCCTGAGATACTTCCCCAGCAGAGAGCCCAGTAGAAGTAAATATTGGAAGCACAGAAGCGTGGTGTTTTCTGATTTCGTGTCCTGTGGCCCCGTAGAAGCTTAAATAGAATTCACTAGAAGAAAAGAATAGCACTTATCTAGCACATAGGCAATCTTCTTCTCCCCCGTACAGTGTTTTGAAACCTAGTCTTAAACTAAACTCTCAGGCGTAATACAGGGCATTATTTATATCAATCATTATCATAAAAAAAACTCTTCTCACAGAGAGAGCAGCGTTTCCGATGCTGCTATGACACCTTTTGCACTCTTTCCTTACAATCGTGAAAGAAACGTTCCCCTCGGACAGACCGGGGCTCTCCGGCAGTCGTAAGCAGAGGGCTAAGAAGCAGAAATCGTTTTTAAAAATAATCCTCAAGTCAAGCTCAATCTCTCCGTTTTCACCCATATTTCTTATGCAGAAAATGTTTAAAAAGTCACCCCGTTCTATGTGCACTGTTCTGTCTTTTTTCGTTGTTTTATTCTTTTTATTTGAGAAGAAAAACTATAAGTGCTTTGCAGCCTTTGGCCATTGGAGACCCCACTGACGTGCATTGTCCCCAGTGTGTGTGTGTGTGTGTGTGTGTGTGTGTGTGTGTGTGTGTGTGTGTGTGTGTGTGTGTGTGTGTGTGTGTGTGTGTGTTTGCCTGTGAGTGTGCGTGATAAAATGTGTCAGGGTCACTGTGCTGTTGGTGTTTATTTGAATAGGAGGCTGTACATAAAGGTAAATATCCTGATTGCGTCGATAGCAGTAGTCTGTGTGGTTGAACTCTGCGTTGGCAGCTTGAGTGTTAGTGTGCGTCTGTGTGTGTGTCTGTGTGATAGAGTGCCTCTGACACTACACAATGAGAGAAGATGAGGGTCTTCCTATTGAATTAAAAAAAAAAAAGCCTGCCATAGGACAGGAGTTTGTACACTGGAAACTTTCTCGAGAGTTCTCCTCTTTAAGCCCTTATTTGTAAATCTTCAATTCTGGGGAAAAATGTGTCAATTCCATTTTAGGAACATTTTTGAATTTGGTATTTGTTTTGGAGGCTGGATTTGAGTTAGAACTCTCCAGGATTTCCAGATTATTAGAATCTAAAGTGTTGTATTCCTGTATGTATAGTAAATATAGGGGGAAAATATTCTATACAGATCCATAGATATAAAAAAAAACCGACAACAATGAAGGCTTTTTGTTATTAATATTATTATTTCTGATCTTGGTTGGTTAGTGCTTAGATATTTACATTTGGGAAACACTTCATGAATATTTGAATTATTGTTCTTTGATTAGTGTGGCCATAGCGAGTTTGATGTGATTTATCTCATTTTTTTGCAAATGGGTGTGAATTCTTGTCCAACAAGATGTTGGTGTGAGTGTGTTTCGGTAGCAGCTGGGAGGTGTCTTCACTGAACCAGTAGAAAAGGCCCCAGATTGCACCTGAACTTGAGCGAGAAGCAGGGTAAAACTTGCAGTGACAAACGTCCTCGATGAATCTATCAGATAGTTTCTTTTTTTTCTTTTTCGCTTCTTCTCAGAGGAAATGTTGTGGGACGATTGGTGCTACATTTGGACTCAGATCAGATTCGGCAGGCCAATGTTGAGCTGTTTAGTTAGTTTGTATGCAGACGACACTCTTTAATATCTCTCTTATGATCAGTAACTACATCTAGGCAGCACTCATTTTGCACATTCCGCATGCTGTTTATGCCTGATGTGATGTAAAAACACTTCATTAACACTACGAACCAACATCACATTGTACTGCAGGTGCTTTAGAATAGGGTACTGTACCTTCCAGCTGTTAAAAGCTAATGTATTTGGGCATGGTCACGTATTTCTATCGCTACGCAGAGTGTGGATGTAGCCTGTTAGAAAGCTCTTGAAACTTGTTATTAGTCTACCATCCCTTCAGAAAGAGCCATATCCAAGGCAGATTTCACAACATTATTTCAGAAAGTATTAGAAAACAGGACATCTTTATGCAAGGAGGACCTGTGGCACTCATGCAATATGTATACTTTTCTTTTAACTGAATGTCACACACTCTGCAGGGACTGAGAGGGCGTATGCATGCAGAGGACATTTCATTTTCATCCTACACGAGCAATACACACCTTCCATTCGTTGGCTAGCTGCTAGTCACTTGGCATCAGGTTGTTATAAAACATGAAAAACCAGCATTTTTACAGGATGTAACATTCACCAAAAGAAGACAAAAAAGATAGCAATGCAGTGCCTGTTCAAGCTGTCCGAGTGTCTATTGTATATAATTGTAAAATGTGATAGACTTACTTTCATATGTGACATGAAAAACAACCATCACAGTACAGAATGTGGCAAACTCATCTAGAAATAGGCTCTTTATTTCTTCTGATGTTTTTTTGTTGCGATTTATTAACTATGCCCACATCAAGCTTGTTCAAAATTTGAGAGGAGATGTTCATTCTTCTTCTTTTTTCTTTTGTTTTCCGGGAGGGGCGCGGCGGGGGGGGGGGGGGGTCAGTGCTATTACGAGCAGTGAAAAGATCAAATAATGTCTTTTCTCGTCACCATTTTTTTCTTTGCAGGGCTGATTTATTTTTGGGGTCTTGTGGCACTTTTAAGTCCCTCTGCGCACACATTTTTGACCACGTGATTGATGGTGGAATTATATATAACGAACAACAACAACAACACCAACAAAACGATATGTAAACAGTCTCCAGTAGTGATCGTAGTTACACTGCAAGTGTGTGCAAAGGTCTATGTATGTATCTGAATGTACGTTTTAGAGGACTTTTTGGAAACCTTTTTTGTTTTTTATCTTTTCATTGACAGTTTAGGAGCCACAGGTGTCCATTGTGAACTGTATAGCGAAGGCCTTGATATCCCTTCTTTTATTGATTTTAGAAACGCCGAGCATTAGGCAATGCCTTCAAGCTGGTTACATTTGGTGCAGGGGCTAAAATTGCCACAAGATTAAAATCAGTGTAAATAAAGGCTAAACTTTTTGTGATTGTTACTGTTATATCCAGCCTATACTGCTAGCAGCTGTTTTTACTGCAGTCAATTACTGGAAGTGGATATATTTCCTATGCAAAACTGTTTAAACAATAAAATGAGCTATGCTACAAAAACGACTTTCATGTGATGGCTCTTTCTTGCATTTGTTTTATTATATTTGATTTTCAATGATTGCAATTTGAGACCTAAATATCAAATATCCTGTTTGAAGTTTATATCTGTCGGTTTGATTAACAGGTACACGATACATCTGTGTTTTCAAGTCAGTTGGCTGGAAATTGTGGGGGAAAAAATATTGAACTGTTCTTTGTTATTTAGGGACAGTATGAAACTGATTAGAATCGAGAGAGGGTCACAGCAGGGGAAGGGTATATTTTAATTTCCCCAGATGTATTTTTCCCTTGTGATTTAACATAGAATAAAGACATAAAAAGGTCAAATAGCTGCATCACAAAGGTGTTTTTTATATGTAATGCAGCACTCTTAGGAAACTGTCTAGAACACATGTGTCAAACTCAAGGCTCGGGGGCCAAATCAGGCCTGTGGTAGATTTAATTTTGGCCCGCAGGATAATTTAAAATTACTATTAGATCTGGCCCACCGGTATATTGCACGCACACCTTCACTCAATCCTGAGGATTTCCTCAGCTCAGAGCCTGAGCCCAAACATTGATGACCTTGCACCCGAGATGAGATGCCGAGTATCTGAACGAGCATCACAGAGCAGCACATTGAGTTTACAGGGATGTTTCCTTCTGCACTTTTTCTTGCGACATGTTTGGTTTTTTCTTTGAGGGAAATAGTTTTGTTGAAGCTGTTGTTGGCCTGTGGAAAAATGTAATCATAAGAAATTACTCTGAAAAATCTGCAGATAGAGCCATAAGAAATTAATGCAACTGATTATTTAATGTTTAATGTTGTTTTTATAGGCAATAATTTAAGCTTTGTTAGTTCCAGGTTATTTGGCCCACTGTGTATTTCACTTTGACACCCCTGGTCTAGAAGAATTGTCTCCAAAATGCAACGCCATGTGACTAAGGCATAATGTGATTTATTTTACTGTATCAGGCCGAAGCACCATCTGATCTAATTTATGTTTATTTTTGTGCAATCCGTAGAAGGGGGGGGGGGAATAGTGTGACACTCGAGTCCATCTGAAAGCCTCAGAACTACCACCTGTGCCACTTATTCTGTAGGTATACAAAACAAAATGAGCTATTTCTTTAAACTAAGGCCTGGTTCCGAATATCTACAGGTTTCTTTTTTTAGTTAAAGCTATCAAAGGGTGAGACAGAAGGGATGACACACACATATGGGCTGGATTTGAACCCGGGTCCTTATCTCGGGAACTAAGCCCAAGTACATGGGCCATCAGCTCCACCAACTTATACGATGGCCTTCAAATGTATTATTGTGAATCAAGAAAAAGTTTAAAGAAACATTAACAATGCTATGTTGGGCCTCGCCTTTTTCATTTTAGATTAAACCAATATGTACGGTACCTTTAAGAGCTGAGCTGAACTGCTCTCTGTATTAGAGTGCAAGATAACTGGCACAATGTTCAGGATGGTCTCACTAAGGAAAGCAAGGCTGAGAGAGCAAAACAAGGTAAGTAATTGCTGCAGGGGTGGAATAAGGACAGTGCCAAGTCAGAGGAATTACGACCATTTGACTTAAAGTATTAATGTAATTGGATTTGGGTGATTCTCAGAAGTGTGTCTGTGACAGTTCTCCCTAAAAGCAAACATTAGTTTTCACGTCCTGGAGCGATCCCATGACCCCACATACCCGTGCTCCAACATGTAATTTCTCAAGCTAATCTACTGTAATACCCCAATCCCTGAGGAATGGGCGGCAGACGTGTTTGGACCTCAACAGTCTGCTGGTACCTCGGAGGGTCACTCAAGGTAACATCCATCTGGGTCACTGTGTCAAGTACATGAAGCTCTGATCTAGTAAGCCTCTCTAATGGAATTGAGGACATTGAAAGAGTACGGCTAATTAAGTCTTATTACGGCTGTGTGATAGGCTCAGGGCTCAGCAGGACTCTTGATGACAGGCACCTTCAGTCGGACCCCCATGACCCGGTGCCCTGTCCAGACCTAGGGCGCCCTCCTACAGGCCCGTTGAGGCCCTGCATGCAGCTCAATAATCACAGCAAAGCCCACCTGGCCTCGAGCACAAACCAGAGTTCATTTGGCTATCATTAAAGAGGACCAACAATGTGGCACGCTGATATAAAATTACCCGATCTATAATGGTAATCATCATGCCATTTATCAAAATTGGCCAGTTGAGTCAACATCTGGCTTCAATAGGGGGCTGTAGTCGGTGAGGGTCTTGGCAGCGTCTTGTACCCTACATATTTTCCACTCTCTTTTATCAAGGCCTGCTGTCGGTGATTTGACGAAGCTAAATAGATGATGATTTGGCCCTATTATGTTTCGCAGGGCTCAAGCAAAGGGGATTTGTTGATTGCCTTTGTGTTTGTCCACTGTTTTTTTTTCTCCTTCTTCTACCCTCATGGATCCAGGAGAGGTAACGGCGCCTTGTGGTTCTTCAACAAGCGTCTGCACCGGAGAGAGGATGGAGAAGGGGGGGGGGGGGGGGGGGAAAGCACAGCGAGTACTCTCACACAACCCTGTGAGCGCAGGGGCTGCACCGGGCCGTTGGACGCGAGCCAATGCCAGCACAAAGAACTCTGTCACATCCCCAAGTTTTATGGGAGGAATATAATATTCATCTTGTGTGCTGTTAGAATAAGGTAATGAATTTATCTGATCCATTTTGTCTTTTGGCATCAAAGTATGAGTGTAATACACTCTATCTACAAATTCATTAAGGTGTAATTAGTTTACTACTGAGGGAAATATATTGTTCGTGTTTGGTGCAGACAATGTAGACCTCGTGATTTTATGGAAGGAAACAAAAAAATAATAACCTCAAATCCCTTTTTGAAAATAAATCCACAGCAGATACGGTTTTAATATGGATCCACTCAAAGGAATAATTCAACATTAGGGGAAATACATTTTATGCCAATATGGTGAGAAGATCAATATAATGATTAGCTTAGTTTAGCATAAAGACTGGAAAAAAGGGGGAACTAGCCTGGCTCTCACCAAAAACATAACATATCTGCTTCATAATTCTTAGGCTCTTTAATTAACAATAACCATTTTGTCACTCCTTACAAAAGAAAAGTATAAAAAAAGACAAGTTGCAATTTTACATGGCAGCAGTTAGCTTTTTTGCTCAGCTAAGCTAAGCTAACAATCGCCCAACTGTAGCTTCATATCTCACATAGCCTACGAGTTGTCCTGATATTCTCCAAAAAGTCAAACAATTTTTTACCAATAAGACAGCCCTCTGACAGTAGGGTGTGTTTCATTAAAAATGTATTTGGAGATATCCAAGGGACAAGACATTTCACAAGAGCCCATATCTTTTGATTTAGAGCTTTAGCCTTCGTGAAGGAACACTCAGACAACAGCCTGCGTCTGTTTGCAAAAATGTGGTTGAAGAGAGCTCTGGGAATAAAAGAAGGCTGTCTGAAAATGCACTAGTCCTAAATAGCACTCTCAGCTCTGTGTATTCCCACACAAATTTGCATAAATTTCATAGTCTAAGTCATGCACTGTGGCTGGAGCGTGTTATTAGTCTATCTTTACGTGGTAGTACAGGCAGAACACACTGAGGGTTGTTGTTATCTCATTGAAAGCACCCTGGTATTACACCCTGCGGATTGAGAGTGGGTCTTAAGATCGTGGGATTTGTTCACATATTAAAGCATGTCTGTTTGGATGCGCAGAAAAGAAACAGGTGTTCAGTGTGTGTGAGTGTGTGTATGAGAGAGAGGAAGCAAACTCATGTGTGTGTCTTTGTGTTGCCCCCCGTGATGTTTGTTCGAAAGCATACACGCACATAGGATGAGAACACGCTGTTCATTGCCTATGTGTGTGTGTACATGTGTGTGTATGACTTGACAGAGGGGTGGGGGTGCTTTATTGAAAAGTACTCCTCTCCTCCCCTGTTCAACATGCTGGATTAGCACCAGCAGTTTCCCATGGAGCCGTCCCTCCCAGCCCCCTGGCCATTTGCATAAGGCGCAGACAGGCGGAGATGTGACAAACAAACCTGGCACACACAGCGCCGGCTGCCTCTTTACATGAACCCTTTGCCTCGTTCTTGCCACGACAAGAAAGAGACACAAGATAGAGCTCGAGCAAACCCACCTGCGTACACTCGGGGCCTGTTTCCTGAGTCCAAACTCCACGCTGTAAATAAAATTAGAGGCAGACTGAGGTTTGAGGCCGGTATTTCTGCCCGTGATCATAGTGATTCACGTGTCAAGAAAAGCAAAGGGCTGAAAGGAGGTGAGAAGGGCTGTCATTTGGACAAAACTGCCTTGAATCAAAGCATCCTCCCCCTCGTTTTTCTTTTCCTCCAAGATGGTAATGTTCACCTTAAAACATCTTTACTGTACTGTAGCTACATAACACAGCTCTCTGCACTGCTGTCTGACCGCCAAGTTCCTATCAAGCCTCTGATTTATGGCGCTTGATGCATTCCTTGGCCCTGGCGAGGAGGCAGTTTAGCTGAAATATGAGAAGAGATGCAGAGAACACACTCAAAGTGTGTTTCAGTTTAGCCTGCCTGTGCACTATGTAGCTGGTGCAGATTCAAAGTTTTGTCTTTGCAAAACCTGAAACAGCTTATTTTTGTAATCTCTAGATTGGAAAATATTTCAGCAATGTGACTGTCTGCCCCATCAGCATGTCCGGTTGTGTGATAACAGGAATAAACTGTAACCCAGCTGTCATGAAGACCACAAACCCCCTTTTGTTGGTTGTGACATGCAGCTTTCAGCCTCCTAAATTACATTGGGATTAAAAATGTTAAGTTCAACTCCTTGCCTTTTCCTGTCCACTTACACGAGGAAAATTGCATGCAGGTGTATGACGGAAAAAAGATCAACAACTTTACAGTAGTATTTTGTTGTAAATGGCTTCCTTGCGTGTGCGGTAAAGACCTGTAATCAATCATAAAGGCTTTAAGGAGCTGTTTGTCTTCATTTGGTTCTTAATGTAAAATTGCTGATAAACTAAAATCTGAT